CTCTGGCCCTCGGCCGCAATCCCCAATGCAATAGCATGCCAATTATTGGATTGTGCTATCGACACTTTACAACCACTGAACCAAGATCGACCCATGCGACGGTTTCTGGCGCACCCAGTATTCCAGTGGCCCCACATCAACTCATTCGACGCCCTTGCCTGCACTATATCTCTGTCTGCTAAGGCTACTTCTGTGTTGACAATCGCATCACCATACGTCTATTTACAGCGGTGTCTGATGGAACGGCACTCGGAAGCTGACCCCGGCTTGCCCTGTGAGGTCCACCTCGTCAACATGCACACCATGCGGCTCGGGACACGAATACATGGGCACTGGACCTCAGACAAATAATCTGGCAGGTCAGCCAACGTGCCAACATTTGTCCTCAACTCCGTATGGATAGAACGCAGATGCAGATTAAAGGTCTCGCGGAAAGTGGAGTGCGTTGTCAACGGAAGCCGGAGGGCGGAGCCGCGGTACCTACTACTGGGCGCCACGACAAGGCGTCAAGGTCGAGAGAACTCAACATCCTTCAGCCACCTGGGCTGACTGTCTGATTCTGATATCGCTTGAGAGCTTGACAGACGAGCATACCTAACACTCCATAGGGATACAAGTTACAACATGTCTGAGACATTGGGACTGTGCTCGTCGATGATCGGATCAGTGATCAGTGGCTTGCTAGACCCCCACTCCACGGAAGCCTGCCCCTCAGGCGTTCTGTTGGAAATGTGACTCCGGTCGCCTACGGAAGAGTTGGTGTGCACCGTACCAACTGAACGAGTCCAATCGTTCTCAACGCCCCTGACGCCAGTAACGCCACGACGACACAAAACGAGAGAGCCTTTGCCGAGGGTTGAAATGCGAATCCGCATCCAATAACCTCATGTGCCGAACTGGTAGAGCTCCGAGGTTCTTTTCACACCTCGACTTAACCTCTCTGTTTTGGATGGTGTCTGGGAGGACAACGTACGGTCCCTTCAATTTGATGCGGTCAACGTCAGTGAACAACTTCTGCCAGGGTATGCTGTTCAGGATGCAAGCCGATCTCATCTGGGACAGATCGGAGATGAGCAGGTGTACTCCGTACGGGTAGAAGAACGGAAATCATTAGACACTCCCAAGAGGGGCACGAAGCGATGATGGAGAAGGGCACAAAGCGGCAGGACGCGCCATCAACTCAATGATTGACCCGGGGCATTGCTTGCTGTTGTGGCATCCACGCAAATGCAAGGCCATCGTCCATTTTTTCAGTGCCTATCCGACCGCACACAGACAACGCAAGCTTTATGGGACGGTTGCTGGCTTGCGTGGGGACAATTGCAACAGGTCACGTCGTACCAGAGAGACGGACGCCATCCGCAAAAGGATTGCCGAGCTTCGGGCTGGCCTGCCAAAATCTTAAAAAGTCTGGTTCCAGATCCAGGTGTGCAGAATCATCGTCCAAGGGAGGGGCGTATGGGATTTGACAGATGATGACCCTGCATCTTCTCCTCTCCTCGGGTAGCTACGCCTCGTAATGTACAGAGCATCCGTACCTCCAAGGACGGGGTGGCTACTAGCCCACCAGCTCGGGCATGTCTCACCCCATTACAGCGATGGTCTTGGAATATGCCGACTTTGGTGGAACAAGACATTGTTATCCCACTGGCAATTGCGCAGCGGGCCAAACCGGCAACATTCTCTACGCAGTATGTGATCGATTTGCACTCGGCTGGACAGGGGTCGTGGTTTGGACCGGTACGGACACACAGGAAAGAGAGAGAGAGAGAGTATCCGTACGGATAGCTAACAGAGAAGCATCGAAGGCGTCCAAGACAAACAATGACGCAGCAAGGAAGCAGAAAAGTTCCGACCTTCCGACTGGTTTCTCGCAGAAACACTGAACGCCCGTCCTGCCCAGCTCCGAGCTCGACCTTGGGGCAGGCCAGCAGATCCCGCGCCTGATGTGCAACAGCGTTTTATACAAGGCGTCCTACCGAAATTCAGGGCTACCCCAAGGTCAGTTTTTCGAGGCTATGGATCCATGTCTGTTGCCCAACGTAACGTAAAGCAGGGAAGGCTGACGGGTCAGGAGCTTGACAGTACACTAACAATCGGAACGTACGGCGAAGCGGCGAGGCCTTCGTTTCCTTAGTCAATGGACATGTTCTTCATCGAGCTTGCTGCCGGTTAACAGCCACAATTCCCACTCGAGAAGAGCCACCAACCAAAAATACCTACATGGATGGGTCCTCGGGGACAACGGAATACGTTCGACGATCTTGCACCCACCAATGGGGGAGCGCCCTGCAAACAGTAATCAAGCAAGCACCTTCGTCTTCTTTTCAAGAACGCACACCACGATATCCAGCACCTGAAAGAAAACCAGCAATACTTGCACCTTGCCCCGATCCTCCCCGTTGACTGCGGGCGTCGCTCCTTGCACTCTGGCTTCCTTGGCAACCATTGACCTTCTTCACACTCATGTTTCGTTGCAGCTCTTGAGCTGTTGCTCTCCCCTGCCGGATAGCCAGGAGTCACCGTCAAAGCGTTCGTCGACAAACCCACCCTCAGGTTTCACAGCAGACTTCGAAATGATCAAAGCGCCATCCGGCCTACTCCCCACACCCACAACCCCAAATTCCTCATCTGATCTCCCTGTCCCTTGCCCTTGCCAGCTCCCTGCACGGCGGCTGCCAAAGCTGGATGATCGCATCAATCGGAATTTGGGCGAATCATGGTGGTTCCAAGTCCTCTCTGACAGGTACCCGACGGGCGAAGTCTCCTTGTCCCATGCTCGCAACTATCGACTAGAAGGGGTATTATGAGGGATGCTTGCGCCGGGGTCAACCCAAAAAAAGCCTGACAGCAAGTGGAGAGTCTTGCAGAAACCGCTCGACCTCGAAGCCATGCTCGCCTTATGGAGGAGAAGCGAGAGAGGAGGGGTGCGTCTCCATTCCGCAGACTCTCTACATAGGCATAGCCTGGATATCCGGAATACGAAGGTTCGAGTCGATGTCGGTAATGAAGTTGCGGACGAGAGGCAGAAGTGGGCTATCGACGCACTGTCGTGGAATTGACAACGTACCACGGCACGACATCAAAGTCCAGGTAGCACCATTCGCCTTGGGCATGCTACCAATCTCACACCAGACCGCACGTACTTTGACTTCCGGCCTCACGCCCCCCCATGGCTGGCATCTTCCTATACCAGATTGAGATATCTGGCGATTTTTGACATTTTCACACCAACACGTGTAGCTCCAACCGGCTGACAAGGTCGATGAACTAGACCCACAGATTGCAGACGGCAGTGGTTGCGTGTCAGCACGGCTCATGTCTGTCAAGTATCGCCTGCTCTTCGGCTTGGATGGAGGGCTTCCTTGCTTTATTGGTGCCTCTGTGGGGATGCAAGCTCCCCGGGCCGAGTCTTTGACGGTGCATCACCAGCTCATGCCTGCCATTTTTACTCAGCGGCCGACAACATACTGGAAAATTCGGAATCCCATCACCGTGAGGTTACCATTGTCAAGGCCCGGGGTCCGAAGACACCCTTTCTGTAGCGGAGACGTATGCACGACAGTGTTTGTGGCAACGACGGACCGAAGTATCCCCACCCGGCCCCCATGCCGGAAAACAATCTCGGCCTCTTCTTGTTGCTGTCGGCACTGATTGGACTTGTCTCCCGACGACCCTGTACGTACCAAGAGCCTCTCTGCCATGGATCTGCAACTCGCACTGGATAAGATAAGATAGGATACCTTGGTCTGGATAAGGCATCGCTCAGTCGGGACGACGTCGGGACATCGTCGCGGAAGAAGCACGTTTCCCCCTCCCAACGACCTTCGTATTGACATATTTGTACATGGCGCGGCAAAACTGGAGACACCCGATCTGCTTTCACCGTAACGGCTGCTACCGTTCCATCGCAACATTCCATCTCATGAACGACGGAGACGGCAAAGACGACTGCCTCATCTCCGTCGACGGGGTCTCCCGGTCACTGGGAGCATCATGCTAAATGACGCGGCTATTTTCTCAAGCTCTCTCTGTTGCCGCATTTCTGGCAGTATTTTCAACATTCGGAGACAACTTCAAAAGGGGACTTGTCCGCTCATCTGTGACGGCCGACAGAACCTTACTGTGAGCCTAGTCCCGAGTCACCACCGGCAGTAACTCTCTGCATCTGCTAACCGATGCTCACTCGCGAAGTTGGTAGCGAATCATGATGTGTTCAACCCTTGAGCCTAGTCACCTGATGTCGTCTTGAAGCAACCTTGTACTCCGTAGTCAAGTTGTGTTGGAAGCGATCATACCAAAACGCACTCACCGCTTGCTTCCCCTCTATGACTATTTTACTTGAGGGGCCCGAGGGTGTTTTGGACACATTCGAGATCCTTGAAAGAAGGTTCATCGAGAACCCAAAATAACCTTGGAACAAATCATGCAGCTTGAGAACGAGTGCACAGAACAAGCTCGGTGAACGGACGGTTTGAGGCTCACAGACGTTCCTCACGTCATCCTCGCTGACCGTTCGGCAAATAATTGTCATCCAGTGCAAGGTCTAGGGGTCTCGACTCTCAACACTTGATGCTTATGAGTTCCTTTAGCCACAGTTCTGCCGGGCCATGGTCATTTACGCGGCCGGAAAATGTTTCGGCTCGATTGAACCATTCGATGTCAGACACCAAGCATCCGATATAACGAATGACGGTCCGTCATCCCAGCGTCATCGTCCTGTGATTTCTGCTCTACTGCGATGGTGACGCCTGGTTCTCACCATCATCTCACCCTAGCACATATTCAACGCGAGGTTGATATTTGCGAGGTTGAAATAAAGTGTTTACGACTATTTATTTGGCTGAAGCGATAATTACAACCCCGTATTATTCGGGTCAATTCCAGAAGCTATCAGAGAGAGACACAGAGAGCAGCATGCGCAGCCGAGCCCGTCTACCATTTCGTGACGCACTTTCCAACCATTATCCTACAACCATCAACCCGACTCCAATCCAAGTTCACAATGCGACCAGGGCGGCAATAAGACCTCCAAGAAACGCAACCGGACCCATTGTAGACGCAGCATTCGGTGTGCTGGTAGCAGAGGCGGACGCCGTTGCTCCGGTCGCAGCGGCGGTCGTTTGCGAAGCAGTGGCCGATGATGTCGAGTTGGCGCTCTTACAGACGACTTGATCGGGGACGGTGACGCCTGCTCCGGTGCAGATGTCTTTTGCGTACTTGACGGCGGTGTCCTGGTCGGCTTGAGGACAGGCACCGGCGAGACAGCATGCGATGCCGTCAAGGAAGCCAGAGTTGGAGCAGATGCACTTGACGTCGATCTGACTGCAGCCAGCAATGCCACTGCCAGTAGTGTATTGATTTACGCAGCCTTGCTATCCATTCACAATCCGGCCGTCAGCACACGAATGATAGGCAACTGTGAGCATCTTTGGCACTCTAGCAAACGAGAGAAATCATAAGGACCAGGGGGAGACGTACAGCGCACGTGGGTAGCGCATTCTGCTGCGCGGCGGCAAAGCCGGCAAGCGCGACGACTACAGCGGAAAATCTCATGGCGACTGTGTTTCGAAGACGAGAAGACGTGTCGTGCGTAGTCTGAGCGCGTCAAAAAGGAAGCATCGACGAAGAGACGATGTTTACAACAGCACGGATGGAGTTGTAGCGAGGAGAGCAGAAGAGTAAAGAGCGAGGCAAAAGAACAAAGAGGATCCCGAGAGGGGAAAAGCTGAAAGCTTGTTGCGCTACGGATACATGGCACTGCGACCGTGGTGGCATACCACTTCCCGATTCAAACTATCATACTCGGTATGAGCGCCACCATCTTTATTTTGTTTCCCCCTTCCATCGACCGGCCCCCTTGGCCATGGACGCTTTCGGGAAATCACACCAATCATAACGTTGCACCACTGGCGCAAATGACTTGTCTCATTGGCTGTTGCTGGGTTCTTATGAGCTCAATTAAGTTTAAACTTCGGAGCACTGGAGCTTATTGGGGAACTCATTTGGCAAGCTTCCAACTTGTTAGTGACTAAAGTCAGGGTCGCCTAGACACTCAGTGGCCCATTTCACCCGGATGACCCGGAGGCTTTGTGGACGGTCACGGTGCCCTGCTCCACTCGTCTTGAGGATTGAACGGTCCGGGAGGGGAAGAGACATGGCCGTCCGGGGGCCCGGGTTTACCGGCAGCTCCGTATCGGTTTGCTCCCAAGATTTGCTTCTTTTCATTCCCCCGCCTTGCACCCGTTGTTTGGGTTACCGCCGTGTCTGACCACGAGGGAGACTGAAACATCATCCAAACTTCTCAGAGGATGTGGACGCGTGGCGCTCGCCTGTCTGGGTTATTTGGTCGGGACGGAGAAGCTCTTTGTCAACTCCACGCAGACCAGCAAACATTCTTCCTCCCCGTCTCCTGATTCTCTGGACGACGTCCAAAAGGCTATCCGTACATGCGTCTTGCTCCGGCAAGATGAGGCGGAATGAAGCTTGTAGAGATCCCTGGCCCGCTCGGCCACCACCCTTGATCACCTTGCCGGACGGTCGTCTTTCCCCGCACCAGCCACCTAACCTCTATGTCCCAGGATTCGGGAGAATTGGCATGGAAAACCGACATTGGAGACACGAGCACAGGCATGCTTTCATCTCCGACTCACGCTCGGAGGCTTAGGCTGCTGGCACCACCCACGTAGTCTTGCATAATGCAGCAGCATAGATCGCCCGCTCGATGGCCCGGACCGCTTGTGCCTTTACCTCGCTTCCAGGCGCGGGCGACTCTAACGACAGAAGCCTGGAGGGTAGTTCTTTGCGCCTCTTATGGAGGAGCAAGCCGGCACGAATACGGGCGCCATCCGATCTCGGTGCTGCGTCCAGTCCGTGCTCCTCCCAGTTCTATTGACTGTAGGTGCTTGTAAGTGTCTCTGAGCTGTGAGTCTGCGTCACACTGAAATCACAACGAATGCCTCACTATGTTATCACTGAAGACCTCTGCTTGACGGAAGATCGGAACTGAGCTTACTACTTGAATTACCTACATTCTTGTTTATTGGGGAAGCTGGACAGACTTGGTGTCACCTCATACGTGATGCTTTTCGATTTCGACGTTTCTCCAAAACGTCGTTATCGGTAACGGAAACTGCACGCCGAGCCGGGTCAAGCCCCGGCCGAGAAAGCTTGACGGCGCAGCATAAGACAGCGAGAGAAAGAGCGGGACATCACCCCTGAAGCGGATCAATTTGGTTTTGACATCCCGGAGCAGGCCTGCAGCACTCGGCAGATGGAAGTGAAAAATCGTACGAAGCTTCCGTACTAGATGTTGCAACGCTGACCGGCCTATTTCCTCCGACCATATGCCATGTTGAAGTCCGGAATGTCTACACCGGGCCGATTTATAATTGGGCCGGCTCGGACCAGTGACAACCAGTGGATTGCAAACCCGAGGCACCGAAGTTCCCTCTAGAGCATTCAGTTGGATCATCTATCAGGGGCAGATGCAAGCCTGATCGACGAATGGGCAGCAATGATAGCCGAACTCACCAGGGCTAGAGTAGAGAGGTGTAGGGCGATCGCTAGACGCCCACCAAGAGCCGCAAACCAATGACACTGCCGGCCACTAGACGATGCCCCCTCTGGCAGGATCCCCGACGACAAGGAACCATGTACATTTGGCAGCACGTTGGTGGTAGTACACTGTCAAACTGTACACCCCTTCATGCTGCTGCAACTGGCCCCCTCCTTCGGCAAACAAAGGTCAAATATAGAGATACGAGGCGGGAAGGGCAGTCACAGACGAAGTGACGGCTCTAAGCGCCGGACCGCACCCGTCCCTACTCTACCACTGCCGCAGGGCTCTCTTCGTCTCCATTGTTGCTCCAATCTCTAATTATCCCGTACGACATATATACTTTCAATAGTGGCGCCCGGCTCGCGGCTCACGTCACTGATGGACCTAGCGCCAGACTAGTCCTGCTGTCTAGCAGTCCGCGGCATGCGAGCGTTGTATGCCGTTTGTCATTAGGGGCTTGGTGGGCTAATTAGTTTAGGATTTACAGTACTGAGGTAAGAAGTTTACCTCCCATGCCACCCACATGAGCCTTTGAGGTGGGTTTGGTGACCTTGGTCCCTTTTTTTAGCTTGAATCCCGCCCTTCAAGCACTGCGCTGGCTCTCTATGGCTTGCAGGCTGGACAGGGTTTTGCGGGCAGAAAGATGCAAGACTTGTCGATGTTGCACCTCTACCCGAAAGACGCACGAGAGAATACGACGAGCAAGTTTTTTTTCGACCATCCTTCCTTTTTGTTGGTTTGACTGACTGATCTACTTCGTAGCGTTGAAGCCACTCGCTGCGGGCGGCTAACAAGATTCTTCCTCCTCAACCGAGGGAATGGGACGACGCCTCATTGTTCAAATTTTTCCTTCTCTTCCCTTATTTGGCGCCACCGCGAAGGAGACATCAAATGTCGTTGGTGAATCTGGACGCCACGGTGTGCACGGGTCCATCCGCTTGACGTTCCAGTCCGATTTCTTGGTAAACGACGACGACACGCCCCCTCATCGACATCGTGGGCTTGGAGAGATATGTATGCCTAAACTCGCCCTTCCTGCCCTTCCAACCCACCCCCGGGGGAGAAATTCAACCGGAGGAGAATCGATTCGGAGGGAGAAGAAACAGCAAAAAGAAAAGAAGAGGAGACGGGGATGAAGGAAAGCGAGACAGAGAGAAACGTCCGAGGCACTACAATGTTGCGCTATGGACTGAGACTAAACCCCAAGCGAGGGTGAAAACAGGCGAAGTCCCAGGTCCCGCTTTGGCGCCGCTCCTTTCTTCGACTTTTTGGCTTCGCCCGCAGTCTGGGCAGAATTGGCGCTACAGGTCTCTTTTTTTTTTCGGCAGCGCAGTAAGTTACCTTAGTTCCTCGGCTGTAGTTGCTCAGGGCACGCGCGCGCGTGTGGTGCGTTGTTCGCGTGCTCAATGAACGATAAAAGTGGTCGCTCGACCTCTCTTGATGTGATGCGAGAGAGGCGTGTGTATATGCATATGTGGGAGAGAAAGCCATCGCTCGAGAAGTGGGACGGAGACGACTTTGACATCTGTTGTAAGTACACTTGGATATCCTCACTGTTCGTTCGCCCTACTCTTCATCATCCCTGTTAATTTTTGGCATTCTTTCACGGAGTTTAGTCAAAAATGTCTCATGGTCGAGAGATATTGAGTTCAGGTTGGACTCCATCGAGACGCATTTCAATACTCGCTACCTCGCTACCGCGGGACACTACTGGTCACGAGACCTATCGAGACCTGTTTTCAAGGCCCGCCGTCGTCTGACGACGAATGTGTGAAGAAAGTATATGCAACGCCAATGTCGACTTTCATGCATCATGGATACGAACATCACGAGATGATCGAGAACTAAGTAGAATGCAGGAGGAGAATGAGCGATTTGAAGAGCGACATGAGGCATAATATAGACTCTGAACAGGAGATGAGGGTTGGAGACGAAAAAATGCAAAACAATTGCACCTGCCGGGATTCGAATCCGGGTCCCTCGCTAATTCTGAAATCCCGAAGTCGGGAAGTGGAAGGCGAGGATGATAACCACTACACTACAAGTGCTGGGATTCATGGTGGATAGTGAGGCGGCAATCTCACGATGAAGGGAAAAGCGGCGGGACGGATGGACCCCGCTCTGGGGTTTTGTGATGTTCGTTAGTGGAGTTCATGGGGTTTGGTGGGATCGTGAGCTGAGGTCAGAGGAAGGGTGAGTGAAAGGCGGTACGCTGGTGAGTTTTCATCTTGATGGTATGTGTGAAACGCAATAGGGAGTTCGAGGTTTCCCTCGTCACGATGCGTGAGTCGACACGTTATCGTCCGCGGTCAGTACCGCGAGTATGACAGGGTAGGCAGTCTCGGCTTCGTCTAGGATCACTCCGCTTACACGATGCCGGTGGTCCATCTACGCTCAAGACCGCGCCTGAGCTGCGAATGTCCTGTCTCTGAAGTTGAACCCACTAATCCGTATGTCTCGTTGAGAACAGCCTCCTCAATATCCCTCAGGACTTGGAGACCGCGGGCATGTCCGTCGATACTGTGCCTTGCCCCACGTCAAGAACGGACATTAGAAGTCACCAAGTTACCGGTTCCACGTCGTCGGCATACTCCCACTCACTCGTCTCTGATGACCAGCCGACTCTGATGAAGATGAACCAAGTTCCAAACGTATTCGTTCGGTATCATACGGGGCGGACGGAGACATCTCATGAGCACAGCGGGAGAGGGCTGGATATCACAAGTTCAACATATTCTCAAGCGCCTCGAAGATCATCATTCAGAATCAATTCACTTCGATTCATCATACCCGACCGTTCGCAATCTGAATGTCTCATCCTCCATATTGTCAATAAGCGACACCCACGTGCAAGGAGTGATGGCGATGGATTGCCCCCAGCTTTCACAATACGTTCACCAGAGTTCTCTCGAGTCATCGTAGGCCGCTTTCTAGACCGCTATTCATCGCTTGAATTCTAATACAAGTCTGACGGTCAATCTGACTGTGTCCAATAACCATATTCACCCAATCGCTGCAACTTGGTGGCAAGTTTACTCAACCCTCCAAGACACTTGTCCATGCAGACAACCATCTCTCTTCACAGAACCACGGCCCGAGGATGAGTCTCCATCTTCACATGACTGAGCACAACATATCTTCTTCGTCATAGTTCAAGGTATCCTCTCCCAAGAGCGATGGTCTCACTGACGTCTCGTTCCGGGGATAGCGACACGGCAACTCCCTCTGGCTCTCGAAGACCTTTGCCACAACCTTGACGCTCTCCCTTTCTCGCTCTTTCCGCAGCAGTCCATCAACCATACGAAGTCTCGTCCCCAGCTCCAGAACGCCCTGGCAGTCGGAATCTTGTGCTCTTGCAAGTTCGTATTCAATCTTCTCAAAGGTTTCGATCATATTGACATACAACAGTATGTAGTTGAATGTGGAGTAAGAGCGGTTCCCACAAATATCGTCGTACAAGTCTGCTTTGATCAAATCGAGTATTTGCACTCGACTAGGCCTAACATGATCCCTGAACACGACTTCAATCGGCCTACCGTTCCGGCCGGTGCTGGACTGGTGGGGCCGTGTTTCACCGAGCTTTTTCAACAGGGCATTCCCTCGGGACAGTAGCTCTTGATCGTCTACGCCTAAAGCTTTCTTGACGCGGTCAATTAGACTCTTCTGATCCTTGGTCATGCTGTTCAAAGGAGTATTGGCAATCAGCTTCGAAGCGCGAAGTAAGGCCAAACGAGTTCGTGGATTGAGTGCCTTGTCCGGTATCCATTCGACATGCCAATTCGCTTCTCGGTAAAGCAACATATGAGACTTGGTCTTGAAGGCCACGTTTCTGCTAACGTCGACTGAGCGATGGTATCCCGCTGATGCCGGAAGGGCTGGCTCTTGTTTCGCTCTGCCAGCACCCCATAGGAGCTCTCCAATGCCAAGGAAGGCTTCAGCAAAGTTGGACTGTGGAACTTGGCCATCGAGAAAGAAGCTCTCTCGAAACATTTCCTGTAGCACTTGATAGTGAGCCAAAGGCTTCTTGATGTGCCCATTCTGTACAAGCATGTTGTGGAGATGTATCATTGCCGTCGGTTCCTCGAGGCTGTCCCAGATGAGCATGCTTGTGCGGTAAACCCTTTCAAGGCCCTCCATCACTCCCACGCCGCAGAGGTACGGAGAGTATCTCCACATACCATTGAGGCCGGTACGATCGAAGCGAGATATTGGTAGTATGTCGCCATTCATTGGGACTGACTGACCCAGGAAGTCGAACTCTCTGCAAAAGACGCTCAAGAAACCCATCATTGGCTGCCTATGGGCGTTACGGAATTCTGCCCCGTAAAAGTCGGCCATCAAGTTGGCAGACCGAAGAAGCCCATTGCTGACCCCCAGCTTCTTGTCGTCGTTCTGAATTCTGCCGTCATCCTTTTCGTTGTCGCCGATAGACAGCTCAATGTCACCGATGTACAGCTTGGTACCGCCTTTGCCTCTGCCTTTGTCATTGCTGCCGATCTCCTGAGTACTGTTTCCAATGGGTCTGCGTCCCAGAAACCCGTCAATGTCTTTCATCGGACCAAGCGTATCCGGAGATCTTGGTCCAAGAACGTGCCCCCGCCGAGTGGTGTTGATCCAGCCACATGATACTGTGAAAGCATCGACAATGCATTGTAGCTGAAAAACGCGATGAGGCATGATGTCTTGGAGAACATCCGTTCCTGGCTTCTTCATTAACAATGAAGTGACAAAACATGCGAAATCCTGAAGACCAAGAAGCGGTTCAGAGCCAGTCAACGGACAATTTGGTAAGTTTTCAAGCCGCACCCACTCTCCATCACGGCGTTTGGGGGCTGTGTAGGAGTTGACGAGATCATAAAGCCAGTTGATTGTGTATGATCTCCGCCACTTCAATCTTTCCCTCTTCGTAGTATGTTGTAAGTCTAGCGTGGGATCCCAGTCTTTGATCTTGACAAGCATCTTCGTAGTAGGCTTCCCATCCTCTGACTGTTGATAGTCTTCGAGGAAATCAACAAAATCTCGGTAGGCACCAAGCTGAATGTACTCCTTCAAGTTGATAGAGGTCGTCTTGGTTCCTTCATGCTGGCTTGCCGGACTCAGTTTTGCCAAAGCTTTGATGAATGAGCCTTGTGCAGTCTCGAGGTTTCCACGGATGATGGCCGCTATAAACGTCTCGTACGATTGTAATTCTGGGCACTCGCCGAAGACTTCCAATTCGGTATCCTAGACCATTTCAATAGCGACTTTAGACAGTGTACCGGCAATACCACCATGCAACCCACCGTAGGCTGCCTCGCGCCAGATATTCTGGAGATAGTTTCTGAGGATGACGCACTCTTTGGCGATTGCACAAGCAGCCATGAATGACTCGGCTTTTCCAATGCCATCGGCTTCGACAATGCTGTATTGCTCAATAGGTACCTGGTTCAAGAGGGCGGCGGGAGCCTTCTTCGCCTTTTTCTTGCCCTTGCCCCCTCTACCCGATTTTGCTTGGGCTCGCCTTTGAGATCCATGAAGAGGAGCAGGGACGGCGTCACTTGAATTCTCTCCTGAGCTATCAAGGCTGAGGCTTTTCAAGTCCGACGCCGAGAAATTGATGAAGTCGGCAAGTTTTTCAGGAGTCAAATTGCTGGAATCCGATCGACCTTGCACGCCTCTTGGCTGCTCGGTCTCTATCCAGGCATCACCGCCAAGGGCAACGAAAGCTTCTGTAACGAGTCGGACAAAGGTGTCGTGAATCTTGATGTCTTTGCCATATTGAGGGTCTTCCTCGCTTACGATGCGTCGCAAGAAGACCAGGTGCTCCGTCCTCGCGTTGATGACGGACCTAAATAGGCGGAATGTAGCAGGAGGTATCGCCTGCATGTGCTTGCTCACGAACTTTGCGACCGATTGGAAGTCGTCGACGTGGATCTGTCCGGTTGTATTGAACTCGATAGGCGACTCCCAGGCGCCGTCGTCCCTTTTCCGTGTCTTGAAGATAAAGTTAGATGCGTGGACCATCCAGTATGCGAGTTGCCTGGCGTCGCGTTTGTACACGACAAAATGGTTTGGAATCGCCATGATGAGTTATGATGTAGGAGGATGAGTGTCATAAGGTCGGCGCCGAAGGCAGGCTATGTGATATGGCCTCCTAATGATGCTGCTTTCCATATCAGCGAATGAAAGATGCAGAAGACCCTCACCTTAATGATACATACAAACTATTCGTATTGGAAGTGATGGTTGGGCTGTTACTTTCGAGCCGTTGACTTCTAAGAAAGGGATGTTGTCGGCGCCCTCTTTGGCGGGTAGTGTTGTGACGAAGAGGAATGCAGCCCGACCAAACATCTACGCAAGAGCTGTGCGAGGACAACGAATCGCCGAACTTTCTTGTGCAGTTACGGGGGCACTCCCCTCCTATAGGAATGTCTTGCAGGTCTGTTGCGCTTGTCAGCTTGATCCCGGGAAGCTGCCAAGCAGGTTAGGTTCGTTTTGGAGCACGGAAGGCGCATTTTGTGAATCTAAGCCATCAAGTTGCTGCCGTCAAGTCTAAGGCAGGTTGGCGCCCACTCCACCACAGGGGCCCCATGATCCTACTTTCTCTGCCT